TAACCTAGGCAACCACCCATTTATTCTTACTGTGAACGAAGCACAGTGTCTTTAAAGGATTTGAGTGTGCAAGCTCAGAACAACCTGGCAATCCTGACAACAATATATGTGACTACTTCCTAAGTACAGGTAGGCAAGAACCTAAAACCCAAAGCAGTCATTTTCAGCCCTGGTATCACCCATTACCTCTAAAAGTATTGGGATACTAAAAAAGCATCCATTTTAATTCAGTGTGATTTTAAGTTAATATATTCCCCCACTGACTTTATTCTAAACAGGCCAATTGGCCCCAATTTCCTGGGAAATCATTGCTAGGGCCTAAACACTGCATTCTCAAAGTGCTAATACAGATCAAGTCAAAAGCAAGGCCTGGATATTTAGTCACTCAAAGCCCACACTGGGTGGGCTGTGGCAGGCCTCAAGTCAGGGTGAGCATGTCACAAAGAAAAGTCAGACTTCCTGACCCAAAGTACAAAGACTGATGGTTAGAGAGAGCAGGCAACTGATAAACACAGTAACTCAAGGGCAGGGCCATGGGCAGGTAGAGAACCAAGAATTATAATAACAGCTAACACAGGCCAAAACAGAACTAAACTCTGGTTTGATTTCTTCTCTGTCATTGACGGATTTTCTTATTTATTCTGCAGTATTTACTGAACGCTTATTATATATCAGGCTTTGTTCTAGAAACTGGGGATACAGAAGTGAATAAGGCAGACAAAATTATCCTCTGTCCTCAGGATGTTTACATCTCAAGCTGACAAAAAAAGAGTACATACATGTGGTGGTGTTATGAAAAAAATAAGGCAGGGGAGGGAAATAGGAATTAAGAGGCTGAAGAAAAGGAGTCTCATTTTCCAGAGATGAAAATGTTTGGTCCCAAGTTTTAAAACAGCCCCTTCAAAACAAAGTCCTCATCTCCTCTCCAAAGAACTCTGTGATACTCATGTTAAAGGAGTACGAGGGTCACCACAGCATTTAGAGAATGACCACGGATTTTTATGGACCAGAAAAGATCCACTTAAGAAGGGACAAACTGAAGCTCCAGTAATAGTTTCCACTTCTGCAGATGCTGTATGCACTATCCTCGGTTCCTTACACACCAGGATCCTCACTTCATCCGCACATGGAGCTAACGAGATGGGTGACATGCTGTTCACCATTAAACAGATGAGACAATGGAAGCCCAGAGCAAGTAAGGTACCGGCCCAACATGGCACGCGTGCTAAATGTTGATGCTGGGATTTGACTCAGAGTCCCTACTACTATTACCTTCCAAGCAAAGTCCCCTGGTGGCCCATGGTGTTGTTTTGCCCACACTTGTCCTTATCCTTCAAAATTTGCCATTCAGTGTTTTACTGGGTTCTTACAACCCCACCAATCACCAAAACAAGAACTGTGGACTCATACCATGTTTGTAGTATCTTCTTTTCCAAACAACAAAAACTGAACGGCAATGAAGACCCTCAAATACTTAAAACCACTTCCCAGATAGAATGAGAAATTATTTTCTCACACACTTGACATACATTATGAGCAAACCCAAAGTGGTTCCATTTTGGTGTGAGACTATACGGATCAGCTTTAGGGCAAATGAGAGTTCACACAGCCAGTTTCTTACTAGATGCAGACATCTCAATCTGTACATGCTCCAAATGGAACTCCCGGTTGTCCCCCATCTTACCCACAAACCCGTTCCACCGCGGCAATGGTCTCTCCATAAAAGACACTCAACCTCCCAGCCTCCCAGGCCTGCAGACTCTAGAGCTCTCCTCGACCCCTCTCTTTCTTTCACTTCCACATCCAATCCAACCACGACTTCTATCCTCCCCACTCTAAATCTGGTCTCTGCTTCCTGACCTGACCACTTAAAAACTGCACGGTAGCCAGAGGGAACTTATTAAAGCACAAATCAGACCACGTCCCCTCCCTGCCTAAATTCCCTCTGGTCAATCAGACGATTTAAATTCTTCCCCTGGCGTACAAGGTGCTGTGTGATCTGGCACTGGCCTGATTCTCCAAACTGTTGGGGTTCCCACTCCTCCCAGTTAGCTCTATATGAAAACCCAAAAATCAGAGGAAAAAAGTGCTCCGGATTAAAGCATGAACAGCAATAGCCACCGCACGCACACAAAACTGTTCCCACAAACACCTACCTTCACTACATGATTTTTTAAAATATTTTTAATCTTCATAGCACTTGCCACTTTCTGAATTTTTTTTGTTCATTTGTTTAGATGGATTTACTTTATTGCCATCCTATAGATTTATACCAAGCTATTACATCTGTAATACTTTATTCAAACAACTATAACGTATTATAGAAACTCCTTAATGCATATTTTCCCCACGCTCCGATTATTTCACACTCTCCCAGCCAGTGAGTGTGGGGCAGGTGTACCTAGTTGAGCGTGTCCCACAATGTGCATTTTTTCTCTCCTGTGTCCTTTCTGTATGTCATTTATTTTGTGTTCTGGCCCAAACTGCCTTCCTAAGGGCATGGTGATGAGGCTGAGAGGTTACAAATAAATCAAAACAGAACATGATACTGAATGTTAAAGCAAAGCTGTACAGCAACTTGAGGACTTGCAAGAGGAAACCAGAGTAAGATCTGTCAGTGGGTGACTGGTGTTCAGTCCTGAGAGCTGGTGAACCAGGTGGGCAGCCTGGGAACATTCACCAGGAACTTTGTGGCTGGAGATGTCAGCCACTGCAGGCAATATGAAAACAACTGCCCCAGGAACAGGCCATGAGGCCCCAAAAGGTAGGTAACTTGAGTCAGTCAGAACTCTGTGATACTCATGTTAATGGAGTACGAGGGTCACCACAGCATTTAGAAAATGACCACGGATTTTATGGACCAGATTTGCCCCCAAAACATCCCCTGAACTAGGAATGGATGGGCTCTTCTGCTTTGTAATTCCATCCCTTCCACCCCTTCACGTGAAGATGCCCATGTTTCAGATAAACTGGAGTAACTCCAGCTCCTACAACAGTAACTGGCACACAGTAGGTCTCCAAGAAAATAGTCTCTAAATAAATTAATAAACAAATAAACATATGTTCAAGGTTTCTATCTTTATCCCCTTCTCTATTCCTTTGAACAGATCCAGATCTCCCTAAGAGACCCCTTGAGAAGGGAGAGGTGTGCAATCGTAGAGCCACTGTACATCTCCACATCACTCATGGACCCACCACCACAGTTCAGAGAACATGGATGCAGGAAACATAAACCCCAACACCGAGACACTGGTCATTAGAAAGAGATGGTGCTTCTGGAATCAGTGGTGAACTTAGAAAACAATGAGTCTGCTGTTAAGGAACAGACATTGGAAGGCAGCTAGAAACCACAGCAAAGAAACTCAATCATTAAGATGAGACCTCTGCAGGGTACACAGTACATTTCACCCCACGTGGCCTGCAATCACATAGATATTATTATTGCTATTATTAATGTTGCCTCTTCTCAACCTGGCCTAACCTAAATACCCCAGAGGATTTAAAATTATAGGAAAGCAATGAGTTACTCCAATTCCTCCTAAATCCACTCCAAAGAACAAATCCTTTAATACTCTCTACAGGTGAAATACTGTCCCCAAGATAGAAGGTTTCCTGGCCTCATAATCTACATGGGAAAAAAAGCATTCACAGCTCCTACTGCACAAACCCAATGAACTCACCAACAAGGCACCCTGAGGTGCCATTAATAAGACAGCCATCAAGAACTGAAATCAGATTTAGGCATCTCATCTCATCTCATCTCATCTCTCCTCCTAGGCACTCCTCCTCATTTTCAGCTTTCAAGAATTATAGAGCAAAGCAGAGAGGCTAGAGCTGACACTGAGGCTATTTTGAGAAATGAAAGGATTCAAAAGTTAAAGTACAACTTCCACTAACAGAGCAGCAGATCTCCAAGGAAACCCAGGTGCCTCGGTAAATTCTGTGTATAGTAAGTATCAACATAGAAACAACTAAGTTTCCATTCTTAGGAAGTCATCTTCCTCCCTGTTGAGTTTCACGTAAATAACTGCCAGATAGTTTTAGCTAGAGGCAATCTGGGTATTTCCACAGCATCTATAGGGAGAGACCAAGTATTCCCATGTAACCAGAAGAGATAAACTAAGCTAGAGCTCATGGGTGTGATTCAAATATCACAAGCATCCTTAAGAGCCCCAAATCCTAAAATACAAAGGCCCCTAAGGGCAGGACAAAAGATCTTATCAACATCCTCTCCAAAAAGCACCATTCTCCTCGCATGGACATTTGTTTCCCTCTGGACTGCTTTTGAAATACAGTGGGAAAAAACGCCAACAGCAGTATTCCATCTGCTCCTCTTCCCTCTCATCGTCCCCTCCCCCGGGTGCGCTTGGGAGCCCCTTTCCGTGAACATCCCCAGACTCCCACGTGTCCACTACTAGGGTTCCCAACTCAGAGCGAGGAGGGAACTTCATAAGGCTCCTAAGGGGGAGAAATAATAATAATGTAAGTAGCAAACTGCCCATTTCAAAGAGGGTGTTTAAAAAATAAATACACTAAACTTCCGTTGCTGAGATTATAGAGGTTCCAGCCCCCGACTGACCAGGGGGTAGCACCGCGCCGATCGGCGCCGGAGAGGAGCAGCAGGTTTTTGGTGGTGGTGGTGGTGGTGGTGGTGGTGATGGTGCTGTTTTTAAACACCGAAATTTCAAATGAACTGTTATGAAGAGAACTGCTGTGATGGGACCAGATGCATTAGCGCTTTTCATCCAGGTACCGAGCGCGCCTCGCCAGCCTTTCTCGGCCTCTCAGGGTGCGGGAAACCACCAGCGGCAGGGCCAGTCCAGCCCCCGCAGGCGCCCGCCCAGAGGAACACCGGGGCTCACGCCGCCGCCCCCCGCCGCGGGGCGGCCGGGGTGGGCTCACTGGGCACCCGCCTGTTGTGAGGTGCGGCAGGGGCGCGGGCGGAGCGCAGCCCCCGGCCGGTGCCCCCCGGCGCACGCAGACCCCGGGCGGCGGGTTACCTGTTCTGCCAGCCCTGAAGGAGGTTGGTGTATTTGCTGAGCACGCCCTCGAGCGCCGGCTCCCGCCTGCGGCCGCCTCCCCCAGACGGACTGGCGGCCACCGAACCCGGACTGCTGCGGCTGCCCCCGCCGCCCGGCCCGGCTGCGGCCGCCCGGCCGGAGACGCCGCGGCCCGCCAGGGAGCAGGAGGGCGAGGAGCCCGCCGAGGTGGCGCGGCTGCTGCTGCGGCTGCCGCTGTCGCTGCCTGCGCCGTCCGCGCCCGGGGCCGCCCTCTCCATGGTCCGTGCACAACCGGGAGGCGCTGGCGCTCCTGGCGGCGGCTGGGGCTCCGGGCGCCCGGGCCGCGCGTGGCTGCTCCGAATCCCCGGGAAATGCCTGACTCATACAGGAGAAGAGGCGGCGGCGGCTAGGAGGGCCGGGAAGGCAGCCAGCGGGGCTGGATGCAGCTGCGGCCGCCCCTCCTCCGCCGCGGCCCTGGCCCGCCCCTCCCTCCGCACCAGATGCCCCGGCAAGTTGGGAGCGGGCGGCCGGCTCCGCGAGCCCTCCCGTTCGCGTCGGTCCTGCCGGGCCGCCAGCCGGGGCCGGGGCACTCCGGGCGCCGGGCCGCAGGGTGGGCACGCCCTGCACCCCTCGCGGTGCTTCCGTCGCCCCCTCTCGGATGGGAAGGGGCGAAGGGACTCGCTGAGCGCCCTTCCCACCCCACCCCACCCGCCTGGGACGAGGAGGGAGGGGCGGCCCCACCCAGCGGCCCCACCCACCCCGTCCGCCCGGATATGGGCCCTCCCGGCCTAGCGCAGACGCGCGCGCGCTCCCTCCCTGCCTTCCGAGCATGCCTCGGCCAGACTAAGTACACCGTAACCTGGAAATGAGCCCCGCTGGCAGCGCAAAGTAGCAGGGCAGGAAGGCCCTCTAACTTCCCGGCGCGTCCCGTACTGGCGGCAAGTGATTGTCACAGGTAACCTCCCCTGGGGCGTTTTCTCCCTGCTGGGACTGCGGAAAGGCAAGAGAACGCTTAGGTTCCTGCAAATGCCTCCTTAAAGGGAGCGCCCTGCCTGCCTTCCTGGCCTCACCCTCATCCGCACCACAGTGGACACCCAGAAACCTGGCAAGTCAAAACCTAGGCCCTGCTATGATGCAGCACCAAGCACCTGGGGACCAGAGGCCCTAAAACGGGGTAACAGGGCCCTGAAGGCAAAGGCGATCAGCTGTGAAGTATTCGGTGTTGGCTCTTAATTCTCTTTCCCCCATCCCAAGATTCACTGTGCTGTAACTAGGTTTCTAAATCTAAAATTGTTGCTCTTAAGCAAAAGTAGATGGGTTGTGCTGTCTCCACCCCGCTAATAATTTATGTGAATATAAATATCCAATGCAATCTGGAATTTTCCAAAATTACCTAGAAAAATAGCTTTGAGGAACTCAGACATACCACAAACACAAGAAAACAAAGGGTGATGAATTGATAGGTAAGCCCTGGCCAAGGATATACAAACCCATAAAGCAGATAAATAATTGAACAAGTAAAATATGACTAAATGGAATAGTCAGCTCTCATGGGGACACTTCCCCAAGCCCTTTCTAGCTTAATACCCCTCCAGGAAGCTTTTCAAAAGTAGTTTAGCTCTACCTTTTCATGGAGAAGCTTCTGGGGCTGATAAGAAGTGGTCCTGCCCCTGAATAAATTACAATTCCAGGTGCCTACACAGAATAAAAAAAAGAAAATTTCCCCCAAGGAGATTGCATGGTAGAAAGGACTAACTTCGAAGCCAGACAGAGCTGGGTTCAAATCTGTGACCTTGATAGAGTTACCTCTTAGCTTTAGTTTTCTCACCTTCAAAATGGGGTTAATGATACTATCAGCTGTGATGAACAATGTGAGAATGTTTATTTACTCAAAATATTTACCACCTCTGCCAATGGGAGGAGTGTCCCCCAAGCACACTGACCTCCAGCTTGACCATGGAATTGCCGCGGCCAGTCAGGGGAACAGATGTAACGTATGCCAAACAAGCTTTAAGAGCCATCACATAGTTCCACCATGTCTTTCTTTCCCTTGTACCAGGCAAGCGGCATGTCCCAGAAAAAGACCCTCTGTCAGGTCGGGTCCTGGAGGGAGAAGACATGAAGCACAGCTACAGCAGAGCCAAAGCCAGTTAGCACTGGCCATGTCAACAGTACTGAATATTTGTTTGTAAGCCCCTGACATTTTAGGAATCATTTTGTACTGAGGGATCACTTTGCTTCTAAGCCACCTGATACACTGATCAGTAAAGTGGCTGTCCATGAAATCTTTTGTTGACATAGAGACTGAGAAGGCATGTACATACAGAACTATAAATATCAGTCATTAGGTGCCAAAACAAAACCTGTTTTTGTGGAAGACTGCCACCCTAAGTTCCTGCTGAAAGGCAAGAAGTGTCATCATTTTATTTCATATTATCTTAACTTCTTGAAGTCTAAGATCAGGGTGTCAACATGATTGGGTTCTGCTGAGAGCTCTTTTCCAGGTCCCAGAATTCTCCTAATATCATCACCTGGTGGAAGGGGCTAGGAAACTCTGTGGGGTCTCATTTATAAGGGCACTAATCCCATTCATGAGGGCTCCACCCTCTTGACCGAAGCAACTCACAAAGGCCCCACCTCCTGATACCATCACACTGGGCAGAAGGATTTCAACGTATGAATTTGGAGGAGAAATAAATATTCAGACCATAACAACCAGGATGGGCCAAAAGCAAGCCCACTGTGTGGGGTCAGAGATAGCCGAGGAGGTAAGTCAGTAAGCAAGAGTTAAGTGGGGCAGATATGCTGAAACAAGAGTCAATACCATGAGAGAGAAATAAAGCATATGCTGTTCCCTCTGCTGGCAGCATTCTTCCCTGCTCTTCTATGGTTTGTGCTTCTCACCCTTGGAGTTTGGAATTTAAAGTCTCTTCCTCCAGAAAGCTTTCTTTGACCCACCCTGGTATAGTGAGTAGGGAACAGACACCTGCAGAATTCTCTTTGGACAGGAAAATGTCTTCATGTTAGAAAAAATTTGAGAACAAAAGACCTAATAAACTGTAAAAATATGTGGAATACATGATAAAAATATTAGCAAACATATATGCCTGATATAAGGGCTTATTAATTTACCAGGATTGCTTAAGAAAAATACAAATATACATAGAATGACTGGAAAACTAAGAGCTAGTTTGGACCCTGCGAAGTCTTTGGGAAGACAATAGATGCCATGCATGATTGGAGCAATAAGATAGACACATCACACCTCTTAGAATAATGGGCAGAAATAATAGCCCTCATGCAGAGCTGATGACCACATCTTCTCCTCCACATGGACATAGAGAGCTGCCTGGAGTTTCCCCTAGTCCTGGTCCCCCTCCTCCAGCTGGGAATATCACTTTTGCCAATGGCACATAAAACCTTGGGAGGATGTTCGTGGACCAGCAAAAGAGTAGGTAGACACTGACCTACTTGGCCAGATGACATAAAACCATCTGTGTTAGAAGCATCTGGTCTGATGTGTTCTCTACCCCAGGTAATAACAATAAAGTTAATATTAGTTGAGCAGGTACTATATGTTAAGCACTGTTCCACATGTTTCACACATAGTTCATTTACTCTTTACACAACCGCAAGAGGTATATATGATCCTTACTCCTATTTTCCAGATGGAGAAAAACTGAAGATGTGAGGCAACAGCCCCAAATCTTGGTGGAGCAATGGATTTGAACTCAGTTCTTATCCACTTCATTATACCACTTGCTTCATAATGGATCCAGCTCTCATTTCTCCTACTTAATGAAACCACTGAAGTACAGCTTGGAATTTTATTTCCTGCTATATTTTTGTTCATTTAGGAATTGATTCTCCTTTCCCCATTCTGAGGGAAGAAGGGCAAGAATTTGGGCCCCAACACATAGCCACAGGGCTTGCACACAGGGACACTCAATAAATGTTTACTTTTTTGGTGAATGGAGCCTAAATTTATTGAGGAACAAACTGGAACTGAAAAAGGAGGAGGATCCAATACTGAACCAGAACTGAGGTCTTAAAACTGCAAGTCTAACATTCTTGCCAATATAGCCTACCACCTGAACTTTAGCCAGAATGGATACACAGCATTACTGTCCCCTGAGAAGAAGGAGACCCCACAATTAGAGTATGGACAGTCCACCATGCTATGCACAAGCAGCCCCATTAGGTTTACCCTGAGGGTTACATTCAGAGAAATCAAGTAACTATATACAGCTACATATACATTACATTAATATTCTTCCATAATGGAAACTATGTTGTTTTGATGATTAGTTTTATTAAAATAAATGCTCGTTTTTAAAGATTCACATACACAAAGGTACAATGTAGAAAGTAAAAAAAAATGCATCTCAAAAAACAGGTTCATATTATATATAATGATTTCTAACTTGCTTTGTTGATGGATACATGGTATAAAGTATCACTGACACAGTATATATAATGTACCTGTGGTCTAAGTGTACATTTTCCTTAAGAGCTACATCATGATTGTAAGAGTATTGCACTGTGTATGTGCACCCTGACTTAATCAATCCCCTACTCATGCACACTAGGGTGTTTCAAACTTCTGCTATTATGAAAAATGTTCTTTAAATAACCTTGTGTATTAGTTAAATTATTTCCTTAGAATAAAACACTGGTGATACTGTGTTGTAGTGAAGAATTGTTTAACAACTATATCAACTTGCATACCTATGTTATAAATAGGGCTCAGGTATTGCAAAAGGGCTCCCTGAAAGTTTCACTCTGCTGATCCTGCCTGAGTCTCTCATGTAAGCCTTGGCCGGAGAGCCTAGGCTGGCTGTGGCTGGGACTGCTGGGCACTCTCTCCTCCACAGAGTGTCTCCTGCAGCAGCCTCGCCTGGGCTCATCTTCCTGGCACTGAGAGTGTTTCCCACAGAGGAAGCACCCAAAGCCTCCTGAAGCCTGGAATGGGTGACTTCAGCCACATCTCCACAAATAGTGCTGACCTTCCATGTTACCTAGGGAGGTATCCATGCACCCGTGTTCTGGATTATTCCCGTGGTAACTTCAAGGCAAACTTTCACTATGTCTGGTGCACTGGCTATCCTGCCAGGGAAGGAAGAGGATATCAGCTTCCTTGCTGCAGGAGCCTGCCCACTCAAGCTGTTCTTCCATAGGCTGAACAGAAACTGGGAATAAGGTTCATGGAAAATGAGATGTTTCTAAAAAAACAAACAATGCTGGAAAAATTGGACATTTATGTGCAAAAAAAATTTTAAGGTCTATACCTCACACTTTACACAAAAATCGCCTTAATATGAATCCAAAACTAAAAAGTAAAATGTAAAATCATTAGACTTTAGGTGAAAATGTAGAAAAAATCCTTCTAAACTTGGGTTAGGAAATTGGAGCAAACATGTTACCTTTTGTGAAAAGAGAAGGTTGTCAGGGCAGAACCAGGGGTCACAGAGGACAGTCATTTTTCTTCATGTTTGGACAGGTCTACAGACTGTCCTCAGGCCTAGACACCTAATCCAGGAACTTGTAACTGGATTGCAATTTGCCTGACTGGATTTGTGGAATTGCCATGGACCACTGATTCCTTCGTGCCTCCTGTTTTCCCCCTTGTTGAACAGGAATATCCAGACCAATTTTCCTATGCCTGTTCCACCACTATATGTTGAGAGGAGAAGGGCCAATAGCCCATTTCTTCAGTTTCAAAGGCCATGAGAACTAAACTCAAGTTGTAGACCTTAAGCAGCTACACCTGAGGAGCCTCTGTTCTCCTGAACCACATTTAGAGGACAAGGCTCTGGACTTCCAGCTGGCACAGCAACGGGATGAGACTTTTCGGGGCCCCTGAGGAGTGGATGAGTGTTTCCCCTGTAGGAGGAATGTAAATAATTTGTGGCCAGAGGGTGGATTGTAGTGCTTTCAAAGATATGTC